AGCTCGGAAGGTGGCTTAGTGGAAGAGTGCTTTGCTTGCATGCATGAGATCGTGGGATCAGCACCATGTAAGCGAAAAAAAGCTGGAAAGGGCAAAAGTGGGAAAACACTATCCTTGAACTGAAAAGTTGATGGAAAACACCCAGGCCCAGAGTTAAGCCTATGACTGACATTAAAAATAATGATAAAATAGCACAATTTATATTATAATAAATTAGTATCAGACAAACTCTTTTTTTTTTTTTTTGATAGGTCGTGGGGCTTGAACTCTGGACCTGGGCGTTGTCCCTCAGCTCTTCAGCTCAAGGCGAGCAATCTACCACTTGAGATACAGAGCCACTTCCTCAGACAAACTGTTAAACTAAAGCTAACAGAAACTACTGGAATGCAAGAACACAAGGAAGAAAAGAAAATACAAATGACACTAAAATAAAATGCTTAGAAAAAATTATAAACCTCCACTGAAACTCTTGTATATGAATTCCCATAGTATATATATTTATAGTCAATAAGTGAAAAAATACACCAAAAGAAAAATGACAAACGATATGCTATTTTCGTTCATTTTTTTTTTGGGGGGGGGGGGTCTGGTCGCGGGGTCTGAACTCTGGACCTGGGTGCTGTCCCTCAGCTCTTCAGCTCAAGGCTAGCACTCTACCACTTGAGCCACAGCGCCACTTCCGGCTTTTTTCTTTTTGCTTATGTGGTGCTGAGGAGTTGAACCCAGGGCCTCAGACATGCAAGGCAAGCTCTCTACCACTGAGCCACTTTCCCAGCCCACAATATGCTATTTTCATAAATTAGATTAGTACATAAAATAAACTGCTCACTAATGCAATGGCATGAATGACAATAATAAATTTATTGACAGTAGAAAATTACTTTTACTCTGCATAGTATATTTATATGAAATTTGAAATAAGTCAAATTAATATATAGAAAAAAATGCAAGTTTTGTCTGTGGATGATTGTTGAGAAAGTGTTATTTTAATCACATAAAATAATCTTATTATTGTGGAGTATGCAGTTACTGAAATGTATGTAATAATACCAAATGTCCTAACATAAGATTATATGAAGAGAGAAAGCATAGGGTATAAATATTAATTTTAGTTACAATTTTCTAATAATTTAGGGATGTGACTTATAGCATTGAGTGTTCTTTCTCTATGGAATGTCTGATGTAATATCAGAAATAGACTTTCCATTTTCTTTTTTTTTTACATTTTTTTTATTGTGAAAATATTGTACAGAGGGTTACAATTACATGGGCAAGATAATGAGTACATTTCTTATCAAGCATTGTAACCTCCTCCTTTGTTTCCCCTTCCCATCCCTTCCAAGCCTCTCCCCATCCCCCCCCCACCCAAACTTCCCTCCTCCCTGACCAAAGTTGTAAAGTTCGTATTGGACATGACAACTTGTACTTCTCATTGTTGCACCAGGTCTACCTGTATCCTTATTTAAACGACTTGATTTTCCCCTTCCCCTCCACAAATTATACTGACATCAAATACAGTGAAAGCAGGGTTATACTGTGGGGGAGGGACATACAAAGCAACAAAGAAATAATCTTATAAATGCCTTAGAAACACATGCATGAAAGAAAAAAACATTTAAATACATATCTTAGGGTTCATTTTCCTAACGCCACCTCATCTGATATTTTCTGCTTGACGCATATATATACTAGATATTGCAAATAAGGGAAACCATGGGACCTATATTTCTTTGGGCTTGGCTTACTTCAGTTAATATAATTTCTCCAAGCCTTTCCATTGCCTAACAAATGGTGCAATGTCATTCTTTCTGATGGAGGTATAGAATTCCATTGTGTATATATACCACATTTTTTGATCCATTCATCTACTGAGGGGCATCTGGGTTGGTTCCATATCTTAGCTATTGTAAATAATACTGCAATAAACACAGATGTGCTGGTAGCTTTAGTGTGGTCTTGTTTGTAAACATTTGGGTAAATACCCAAAAGTGGGATTGCTGAGTCATAGGGGAGCTCTATGTGGAGTCTTTTGAGGAACCTCCATACTACTTTCCAAAGTGGTTGAAAAAGTTTACATTCCCAAAAATGAAGTAAGGTTCCCTTCTTTCCACATCCCCTCCAGCATTTGTTGTTATTAGAGTTCTTGATTTTTGCCATTCTAACTGGGGTGAGGTGATATCTCAATGTTGTTTTGATTTGCATTTGTTTTATGGCTAGGGATGTTGAACATCTCTTCATGTGTCTATTGGCCATCCTTCTTTCCTCTTCAGAGAAGTTTCTCTTTCAGTCTTTAGCCCACTTATTTATTGGGCAGTTGTTTCTTTGAGGATTTGTTGTTGGGGGATTTAATTTTTTGAGTTCCAAATATATTTTAGATATGAGACCCTTGTCTGTTGTATGGCTAGTGAAGATATTCTCCCAATCTGTATGCTTTCTATTGATCTTGCTAGCTATCTCCTTTGCCATGCAGAAGCTCTGAAACTTCATGCAATCCCATTTGTCCAAAGTTTCCTTGATTTGTTGTGTTTCCGGGTCTCTATTCAGAAAATTTCGGCCTGCGCTAAGGAGACCTAAGTTTTCTCCTATACCATCCTGTAATGTTTTCAATGTCTGCTTTGACTCTGAGGACTTTGATACATTTGGAGTTGATTCTGGTGCAGGGTGATATATAAGGATGTAGCTTTAGTTTTCTACAAGTAGTTAATCAATTTTGCCAACACCATTTACTGAAGAGGCTCTCTTCTTCCATTCTATTTTTTTAGCTCCCTTATCAAAGTTTAGATGGCTATAGGTCTGTAGGTTCATTTCTGGGTTTTCAATTCTATTCCATTGGTCCTGAGGTCTGTTCCTGTGCCAGTATCAAGCTGTTTTGATTACTATGGCTTTATAGTAGAGTTTGAAATTTGGTATTGATATTCTTCCAGCATTGTTCTTTCCGTTGAGGAGCGTTTTTGCTATTAGGGGTTTTTTATTGTTCCATATGAATTTTTGGATTGCCTCTTCCATTTCTTTGAAGAATGTGGTTGGAATTTTGATAGGTATCGCATTGAATTTGTAGATAGCCTTGGGAAGTATTGCCATTTTCGCGATGTTAATCTTTCCAATCCAGGAGCTTGGGAGTTTTATCCAGTTTCTAAGTTCTATTTTTATTTCCTTTTTCAAGTTTTTAAAATTTTCATCATAGAGGTCCTTCACTACTTTGGTTAAGTTAATTCCTAGGTATTTTATATTTTGTGGGGCTATTAAAAATGGAGTTGCTTTCCTAAATTCGGCCTCACTTTTCTCATTGTTGGCATACAGAAAAGCCATTGATTTTTGCGGGTTAATTGTATACCCTGCTACTATGCCAAAGTTTTAAATCAGCTTGAGTAATTTGGGAGTGGAGTCTATGGAATTCTTTGAATACAAAATCATGTCATTTGCAAAGAGGGAGTGTTTTATTTCTTCTTTTCCTATTTGGCTCCCCTTTATGTCTGCATCTTGTCATTGCTGTAGCTAAGCATTCAAATACTAGGTTTAAGAGAAGTGGAGAGAGTGGACATCCTTGTGTTGTTCCTGAGTTAAGAAAGAGGAAATGGCTTTAGTTTTTCTCTATTAAGTATAATATTGGCTGTAGGTTTGTCATATACAGCCTTTATGGTATTGAAGAATGTTCCATGGATTCCTAATTTTTCCAAAACCTTCATCATAAAGGAGTGATGTATCTTGGTTAATACTTTTTCTGCATCTATTGAGATAACCATGTGGTTCTTATCCTTGCTCCTGTTGATGTGATGAATAATATTAATTGAATTGCGTATATTGAACATTCTTTGCATCCCTGAAATGAATCCTGTTTGATCAATGTGTATTTATTGGATGAATTATTGAAGTTGACTGGCCAAAATTTTGTTGAGAAGTTTTGCATCAATTTTCATCAAAGAAATGGGTCTATAGTTCTCTTTCTTTGATGAGTCCCTGCCTGCTTTTGGGATGAGGATTATGATGGCTTCATAGAATGTGTTCAAGTAGTGAGCTTTCTCTTTTAATTTCATTGAAGAGTAGGAGGAGTATTGGTGTGATCTCTGCTTTTAAGGCCTTGTAGAATTCCACTGTACAACCATCTGGTCCTGGACTTTTCTTAGCTGGGAGGTCTCTTATTGCTGTTTCTATTTGAATGCTTGATATGGGCCTCTTAAGATGGTTTAACTCATCTTGGTTTAGTTTTGACATGTCAATATTTGCTAGGAAAAGGTCCATTTCTGCCAAGTTCTCAAACTTGTTAGCATAAAGTTTTGAGAAGTATTCCCTTATAAAGTTCTGAATCTTGTTTTTTTCTGTGCTGATGTCTCTATTCTCATATCTGAATTTATTTATTTGGGTATGTTCTTTTCTTTTTCTGATAAGATTTGCTAAGGGTCTGTAAATTTTGTTAATTTTTTCGAAGAATCAACTCTTCGTTTTGTTCATTCTTTCTATAGGTTTTTTTTTTTTTTGGATTCTAATTCATTTAAATCTGATTTAATTTTAATTATGTTTTTCCATCTACTGGATTGGGGTTTCTCTTGCTGCTCTTTTTCAAGGAGGTTTAGATGTGTCATTAAATTGTTGGTTTCAGATCTCTCCAATCTGTTGATGTAGGACCTCAGAGCTATAAACTTGCCACTGAGTACTGCCTTTCCTGTGTCCCAGAGGAGCTGATAATTTGTGTGCTCATTTTTGTTGAATAGCAAGAACATTTGAATATCCTTTCTAATCTCTTCCTTGACCTACTCGTGATTCAGCAGTGTGTTGTTCAGCCTCCATGTGTTAAAAGACTTTCTTTGGTGGCTTTTGGTGTTGAGTTCTAATTTTCCTTGTAGAAATTCAACACTTCATTTATTCACAAGTCTTACAAAGAGGAAGAAAAAATTTTCTTGTTTGTCAACCATCCTTTTTAATGTTCTACTTTCATACTATCCCCAGGTTATGCCTGAAAATGATGGCTAACTTGGATATACAAAATATCAAGGGACACCTCAGGAAGAATTACAAGCAAGACATTGAACTTCTTAATCAGAACATCAACAGTCAGAATAAGAAAAGGATTTTACCATGAGACTGACATTGACACTTTTAACAAAACTGAAATACAACAAATTACAGAGCAAATCCACTAAAATGACAAAGAACATTATGTCCATGTAAAGGTTGGTTTAACCCCCAAGAATATCTTCACTTCTGATACTCACACCACACAACTAGTTAAGAAAATAAAGCGCAGTGTTTAGCAACTGGGCATCCTAACTACAGTGAGAGGCACTCTGTGCACACTCCTCCCTGGCAACAGCCAGATCAGCAAGGCCCGTAACAGGGAAAACCTCTTATTTTTCAGTACAGGCAGCCGCTGTCTTCTTGTTGAAGCCCCAAATGGAGAGGTCATAGACCACCTCCTCTACTTTCTTCAGGTCATACTTTAAGACATCATAGCGCTTCCTCAGCGAGTCATTTTTCAGGTAGAGAAGGCAGAACCCAGGATCCAGCTCATTGATGAAAGTGGAGATGTGCAGGGGCCGGAGGAATCTCCAGCAATCACACTGTTGACAGACAGCCTTGACAATTCACTAACGAGAATTAAAACTCCTGAGAGATTATCTTCAACATCCAGGTGAAATCCTTTCTCCCGATCTGGCTCAATGCCAAGAATTTCTGTAACCGCTTCTTGAGTAACTAGTGTTACTGTTTCCCAATACACAGCAAACGCTGCCAGGAAAACCAAGGGCTGCAGCACGAACCTCCAGTGCTTGTGAAACCTGTAATACTGTTCAGCAGGGAACTTGGTCTTCAGAGACGTTAGATGTGTTTTTACTGTACCAAACTGTTCTCGGGCTTTCAAACACCTCTTTGGAATGTACTGAAATCTAGCTCCCTGGTGAATCCCTTGAAGCAGAGTTAAAATCTCTCGAGCTGTTTGCTCTAAGCTCTGTACAACTTTTCGTATTTCCGTTCGGATGTCCTGTTCTGTAGCCTGAACGCCCTGCAGCTCCACGAAGATCTCGCTCACAGACATGGCACCAGCTACACAACAACCAGTGGAGCAATGATGACCGCCTAAATATTGTCCCGCAGACAAGATGCAGGTGATCTCCACACACCCACTCCGCAGCCGCCGCGTTCACCCCCTTTACCAGTCTTTCCATTTTCAAACAAATTGGGCAATGTCATTCTTTCTAATGCAGGCATAGACTTCCATTGTACTTATACAATATTTTCTTGATACATTCATCTATTCAGGGGCATCTGGCCTGGCTCCATATATTAGCTATGGTAAATAATGCTGCAATAAACATAGTTGTGTTGGTATCTTTATTATAGTATTGAGTATGATCATTGGGTAAATGCCAAAAAGTCACTTTTCTGGTTGATAGGGGATCTCAATGTGGATCTTTTGAGGAAGCTACTTTCCAAAGTGGTTGAACAAATTTACACTCCCACCAACAGTGCAATATGGTTTGCCTCTCTCCACATCTCCTCCAGCATCTGTTGTTATTAGAGTTTTTGATTATAGCCATTTTAACTGGGGTGAGGTGGCATCTCAATGTTGTTTTGATTTGAGTTTCTTTTTTATGGCAAGAGAAGTTGAGCATTTCTTAATGTGTCTATTGGCTATTCTCATTTCTTCTTCAGAGAATTTTCTCTGAAAGTCTTTAGCACACTTACTTATTAGGCAGCGGTTTCTTTGAGGATTTGTTGTTGAGGATTTAATATTTTCAATTCCAGGTATATTGTAGGTATGAGACCAATGTCCATTGTATGGCTAGCAATGCTCTTTTCCCAATCAACAGGCATTTTATTAATCTTGCTAACTTTGTCCTTTGCCGTGCAGAAGCTCTGCAACTTCATGCAATCCCATTTGTCCAACCTTTCTTTGATTTGCTGTGTTTCTGGGTCTCTATTAATAAATTTTCTACTTGGAAATAATTATATTAAGTGAAGTAAGCCAGGTCCAAAGAAACATAGGTCCCATGGTTTCACTCATTGGCAATAACTTGTATATATCTGAGACAAGTAGGAAAGGTCAGATAAGATGATGTTAATCAAAATGAACCCCAAGATACGGACACAAGTTTTTTTTTTTTCTTTCTTGCTATTTTTCCTATTTATAAAGTACACGTGTTTTTTTAATTGCTTTGTATGTTCTCTCCCCCAGTGTGTAACCCTAGTTTGCACTGTATTTGAGGTTGGTGTAATTTGGGGAGAGGAAGGAAGAAAACAAGCTGTTTAAATAGGGATACAGGTGAACCCTTTGCAGCAATGAGATGACAAGACATTATGTCAAAAAACGAACTTTACAACTTTGGCAGGGGCAGGAAGGAGGGGAGATATAGGGAGGGCAGGGATGGGGGAGGGAAGATGGGAAGGGATTGGGTTGGGAAACAAAGGAGGAGGCAATAATGATTGATAAGAAATATACTCATTAATTCATTCATTTAATTGTAACCCCTCTCTACAGCATTTTCACAATTACAAAATTCTTTAAAAAACACAAATAGAAAAAAAAAAGCACATTTTTCTCTAATACTCTCGGTTGTGAATATCATTTTCATGTTTCATAAGGTGTCCACTGGTAGTAGCATATTCTATATTCTTTTTAAATAAAAACAAATGTCCTTTCCCCCATGGTATGCCCCATGTTTTCACTGTCTTTGATGTTGGTATAATTTGTGGAGGGGGAGGGAAAAGGCAAAAGCAAATTGTTTAAATAGGGATACAGGTAGACCCATTGCAACAATGAGATGTACAAGACGTTATATCGAAAAATGAATTTTACAACTTTACAATTTTGGAGGATGCAAGGGGGGGATGGGGCTGTAGGGGGTGGGGAGGCAGAGATGGGAAGGTAAGGGAAAGGAAAACAAAGGAAGAGGCAACAGTGCTTGATAAGAAATGTACTCTTTAATTTGCTCATGTAATTGTAACCCTTCTGTACAGTATTTGGACAATAAAAAATTATAATTGAATAAATAAATAAATTCACTTGCTTGAGACCCTATTCATGTCATTATATCAGAAGAAAAAGTGAACCACTTTCAGGATGAAACTTAGAAAGCAGAAACTCTATTTAATTTAAGTTCCAATGAATATTCATGCATGTATCATGAGCCCTTCTCTGTTTGACTTATCCTTAGGCCAAGGATATTAGATACAAAAAAAAATAAGTAAAAATAAGAAAGCCTCTGAAATTATGTACCCCAATATCAAAAGGAAGGAATGCTATTATTGAAAGCCGTAAGTGAATTATTTTTGATATTTAAGTCGAATATTGGGTTTTAAAGTTTAGCAAGTTTAGAATGTTAACTTGCATATGAGTTATAAGTAAGATCTAATTTAAAATTCACATAATATTGTGATCCAACTAAATAATAAATATTAGACTTTTATTAAAGACTTACTATGGTGGTATATTTCAAATAGAAAAGTATTACATTTTTTTAATTGCTCTATATGTTGCAATGGGTGAATAATGTGAGGATTACCAGGCCAGGTCAGATTAATTTTCCGTTTCCAAAGGAGGTGCAATATAAACCTTAGATTAATTGGAAAGATTAAGTAAAATCAGAGATAAAATGATGAAAATGTATTCTTTTGAGTCATTTTCATGGTGACATGAGACAGATGTGAAATTTTGCCACAGAAATATTGTCAATTCCTTCCTGTAAATTCAGATTACATAAATATAAACCAGGTTTTCCTATAATAAAACATACATTCAATCAATTTTATTCATCTTATACTTGCTATAATTCTCCTTATCATTAAAAATATATCTTTGCAACATTTCATAAGGAACTTATGGAATAGAGTTGTACTTATTTCATTTACAACATTATGCTAAAAAAGAAGAATTTGAAATGGCAGATGCCAGTCAGGACTTCTTGTGAAAAATTCTATGGCATTTTGGAGTATCATAGAACCTGTACATCAAATAATGAGATACAGTATTAGACTTAAAAAGTCGCAGAAAATTGATTGTAAAGTTTATTTACTTCTAAGTAAATGGAAACAAATACATATACTTTCTCATATGGTTATCATTTTATAAGTCATTTTCATCTGTTCTAAATACTGTCAAAATGCCTGCTAAAGAAGACTTGCCACTATCAAATTTACTAAATTAGAAGACAGACCTGGCTTCAGCAAGCATTTTGTCAATTTAAAAGTATAAAATATTATAAAGGGTTGATGAGTCCTCTTATTAATGTACATATCAACGCTGTTCATCTTCACTTTCTCTTTATTCCTCAAAAACAGTATAAAATATACATGTGGAAGCAATCAGTTTAATGGAGTTTCTTTTCTTTTCTTTTCTCTTTTTGGTCTAGAATTTTCAATTATCCTGAGTTGATTTCTGTTTTGCCTTTTCATTCTTTCCCTAATTGTTACACTCTATAACTTTCCTCTACCATCTAGGTCTGTAGATCCTAATGAATGTTTACCTTGCCTTATTTTGATTATCATCTAAGGGACCTCTGTACAAGTTGTTAAGTCTGGCTACAGAGTCACACTCCTATTTGTAATACCTTCCTGCCAGACATCTACATGCCTCTGTCTCCAACTTCATCTCAATTACTTGTCAATTTGGATATTTTGCCAAGATTTGGTCCAATACATGACCTTGACTTCTAATGTTTATTTAGTATCTATATTCAAATTAATAACATGCCCCTAGTCCACTGTATTAACCTTCTTAAAATTTTAGGTTACATATTCAGGGCTAACATTGAGGCATTTGACTACTTCTTACATGAATAGTTTACTAATGTTTTATTATTTCTTCCCAAAATATTCCAAAACAAAAGTACCATAAAATTTACTTTACACAAAATACATTTCATATATATTGAAAACTCCTTATATTTCACAAGATCATCTTATTTCCTTGCAAACAAACAACTTTGTGAGTAATCTGGGTTGGTATGACCATAAAATCCGGTATGTGATAAGAAATTCAAAAATAATATTACACTATGTTTTATTTAATATTTAATATGCTTTTATGACTATTTTTAGATTTCTGTTGTTTAAAAGTACTCCAATTACAGGGTCATATATTTATTTTAATCACTTGTACTTCTTTTTCTAAAATAATTTTAATATAACAAATTAATATAAACAAAGAGGAAAATTTTATTACATAGTAGTTAAATGACAATTTTCTGCCCTAAAACCTATAGCCTTCTGGCAAACTGCTCTGAGTTAAAATGGGGTGCAAACAGTTGTGCATAATTTTCAAGTTATTTTTGTTAGTTTGTTTGATTTTTGCCCTTCAGGGCCTGAGCACATTCACTGAGCCCGTTTTTTGTTCAAGGCTAGTGTTCTCTCACTTGATCTTTAGCACCACTTCTGGATTCTTTTGAAGAGTTTATTGGAGATATGCATCTCATCGACTTTTCTACCCTGGCTGGCTTCAAACCGAGATCTCAGCTTCCTAAGTAGCTAGGATTATAGGTGAGGCCACTGGCATCTGGATATTTTTCAACATTTTTTTTACTTTTAGGAGCAACAACAGAAAAGTTTTAATACAAAGTATTTGGAGAAGTGATACGAAGATAGGAGAGGAGAAGCTGGAGGCTAAACAAGCTCTCCCATAGAAAATACTTTTAGTGTTCCACTGAACAGACCTAGGCCAGTGAATTACACCAAGGGTGCTATCACGGTTTAGAGAGTTTGGCCAGAGAGGGAAAATCCAGGCAAGGAAACAGATCTGAGCACTTGCTGGCAGCCTTGGGGGTGGCGGCGGCAGCATAGCCACCATACGTGCAACACAGTGTCTGGGACAAAGGCTCCAGATATGGCAGGTGAGCAGATTCTACTCAACACCAGCAAGAACTGACAAGGAGTAGACATTTTCATCCTGCAGATTGCAGACCAGCGACAACCCAGGCCTTAGTAGAAGCCTGACATCCTCACTCCTTCTCAGGGAGCAGAGGAGGAAAGGCCACACAACTGGCACCCCACTACTGGAGATCTCCATCTTTGATACTAACAAAGACCCAGCTGAGCTTCTAGCGCCACCTCAGTCCTTGGGAGAAAACGGGAGTCATTTAGCAGGTCACAGTAACCTGCTCAGACCTGCCAGGCTCA